CAATGTAATTAATCTCCTTTGCAATCCTTTAAAAGCCATTCTTCTTAGAAAGGGGTGCATAGATTTCATCAGACAGCCAAAGGGATCTGGAAAAGATAAGGACCCCTGAGTGGCCTGACCAATAGAGACTGGGTGGAATATTTTACTTGGTGCTTAGGTAAGGCAAAGGGTTGAAAAATGGGCTTCCTTTGATCTTTGAAGTTAAAAAAAAATTCTTTGTGTTTGTTGAGTATTTGCCCATGTCCTTCCCTTCTCTCTGACTGTGGGTCCAGTTAGAAGCCCCTCTCGCCCCCCTGCTTTCCACTCCTTTATGGCAGAAGTGCTTCTGATATCCTGGGGTTTAGGAAGGCAGGTGAGGCCCTGTTCTGAAGGCAGGGTGGCCCATGGCTACCTTCACTTCTGCAGAACCAACGAAAAGGAGCACAGGACTGGTGCGGAACGCCAAGTGCCATTGAAAGGCATTCTGCCAAAATGTTTTCCTACCCAATGGTAGAGATTGAAGCCCGCCCAACCCTGATTGGATTACCACAGCCCCAGAAGCACTTTAATCTCAACCGCTGCTACTTGGGGTGGGGAGAGCGCCAGGGAAGGGGAGGCAATGATTGAGATGTGTGTGCTGAGGAGGGTCTTGGAGGCTTGAGTCTCCCAGCTGTGGGGCTGTTGCTGAGAATACAAAACGGCTTGCCACAGAGATAAAGGGAGGGATTCTTAAGTATGGGTCTGTTGATAACTTCCCTTTAATTTGGATTCTGGTGTGTAAAATTGTTGTCAAAACAGGCTTTTAGCACACACAGCCTGGTGGTGGCGGGTTGTGTATCAGTGGCTGATGGTATTCAGGCAATAAACCAAAGCTTTAAATACAGATGCACTTTCCTAAGAGGTGTGTGTTGGGAGTGGGGAGCTGAAGGGAAAAACAAAGCTGGATTGTTAAGAAGGAAGGGACACTTTAATAGCCAGAAATAGCCAAGTAGAAGGAGAAAGGAACGGACTAAAGCATGAATGAAATAAAATAATCAGGAAAAGATCTTCAAAATGAATGGTGTTTATCCAGTCATATACTGGTATCTAACAGTAAAGTAGTTGGAAAAATGGAAAAACCCCACCTTAGAACAAATTTGTTTTCTCAGGCCACGCAGAATACAGGAAATCATAATAGGCTGTGAGTAATTACATCCAGAGTAAAAATAAAATAAAATAAAATAATAAACCAGGTTTTCTGACTGCTTGGGGCTCACAGTCCATATACGAGGTTGATCAAAAGATACGGTATTTAAATTTTAAAAAAATTATTATAGTAAAAACACATTGCCATTAATCCCTCTCAAAATACTCCCCCTTGCTTTGAACACACTTATCCCATTGTTCTTGCCACTTTCTGAAGCAGTTCTGGGAGTCCTCATAGGTGTCTCTATTTCATCCTCCATCATGACAATGCTCAATGTCACATATCGCTTCTGATACGGCAGTTTCTTTTAAATAAAAACATGGTGTGTCCTCATCCACCTTATTCACTGGATCTGGCCCTGTACAACTTCTGGCTCTTCCCTGAAGTCAAAATGACCATAAAAGGAAAATGTTTTGAATTGATTCAGGACATTGAGGCAGCCACGACAGTGCAACTAAAGACACTCATGAAAAAGAACTTCCAAAACTGCTTCATAAAGTGGCAAGAATGATGCGATAAGTGTGTTCAAAGCAAGGGGGAGTATTTCGAGGAGGATTAATGGCGATGTGTCTTTTAGTGTACTAAATTGTTTAAACATTCACCGTATTTTTTTTTTATCACACCTCATACAAGGAAGGTGTCCAGTAATGAAAGGTGAATGTCTTGGTCATGAAAAGAGACCAGATGACCCAGGAAGAGGGCTGCGAAGGGAGCTGAGGACTGAAAGGTCTGGGTGGGTCTAGAGAGGTCTGGGTTGAAGATTGAGCCATGTACACCTTAGCTGAGGAGAAAGGAGAGCTAGACGCAGGGATTCAGGAATGTGGTCCCAGGGAGGTAAAGGCAGGTTTACCTGTCATTGGCATTTCAGGTGGCTTGTAGTGATGAGAGATGGAGAGAAAAGGGACGCAGGAAGAGTAACAATGGAATCATTCTCTATTACTCAGAGACGATCCTAGTAGGGTGAAAAAAATGGTGTGTGTGTGTGTGTGTGTGTGTGTGTGTGTGTGTGCGCGCGCGCGCGCGCACGCGCGCGCTGATTTCTGGAGTGATATTTACAAAAACAAGTCAGGAACACTGACAAGGAGGCAAGCATAGAGTTGGTTGGAATAGGAATGTCCTTTTTTTCTCTGTATGGGGGATGTATGAAGCCGTGTGTATGCAAGTAAATGGCAAAAGTTATTGGGGAAGCGTCAAGGTGGAAATTCATAGCTATTATTTTTGTGGCCTCTAGCTACAGGAGCTAACAGGTGAAGATAGTCTAGAGACCCAAAGTGGGAAAAAATGACATTTTAACATTTTTGTCAGGTAGGCAATTTAAAAATAAACTTGAATTCAATATATACCATTAATGCTAGAGGTTGTGTTATAACAATGCAAAAATGCCTTCTTTTCGATAGCAGTTTAAAAAAAAGTATGTCGTCGGGAGGGCTAGGAACCATATATAGAAGTGGCATATGTGACTGTGACAGCAGCCCCACAAAGCCATTGAAAACATACCACGAGCCTGCCCTCCAGAATGCGCACCATAACCTATGTCAGGGACTCGCTATTATCCTAATATCTGCTTTTGGATTCTGTCCAGTCCCATTAGCGATTCCCATGTTGATTGCTCTGTTACTCGTGAATGTTAATTGCTTCTAAATCTCTTTGGATGTTCAGATGCTTGGGGAAAAAAATTCTGACTGGTGAAGGTGCGAGTTTTATTAATGTGCAAGTAAACAACAAATCTGTTTAAAGACTCCAGTGAAATGTCTGTGACGCAAGACGTCATAGACAGTTAATGCAGCATCGTTCTTTGCATGTCTGTCGTATGTTGGTGGTGTGATAAGAGCTGGGGGTGGGGTGGGGTAGGGGGAGGAAAGGTTTTCAGTGATATCTGGGGTGTTTGTCCAAAATCAGCACACTTGTATATATGCTTAGATAATCAAACCCTCCCCTCTGGGGTCCTACTTGCTTAGTATGAAATGACCTGGCTACCTCTGAGATAAGCTTAGACTGAGAAAGTACTATTACATCAGAAGATGTAAACATATGAATATATTTTGGCCCATCACCTAGACGTTGATCTCCATAGTTTCTGAACCAGAAGGAACCTTAAAAATTACCTTTTTAAGCTTCCTTATTTTGCCACTGGGAAACAAAAGTCCTCGAGTTTGAAGAGGTTGGGGCCACAGAGCAGCTCTCAGTAGAGCTGGACAGAGAGTGAGGTTACCCGACTCTTGGCCCAGTGCTCCAGCAGTCAAGAGAAGGGAAAATGATAAAAACTGCTATTTATTATATTTTCAGAGACATTTCACTGAGTGTTTGTAGATATCCCTCCGCTTTGGGTGGAAACATCTATCATGATCTATTGTAGTATTGAATTTCAAGTATTAGTAATGATAACAGTATCCCACTGAGAATAGAAAGAGATACAGGAGAAGGGCAGAGCACCCAGTTCAGCATTGTGATTCATTTGTTCATCCGATATTTATGGAATGCCTGACCCTGGGATTTAGAAGTGAATAAAAATTTTCCAGCTCTTATGGAGCTTATATCCTAGTGGTGGGGGTGGGCATAAGAAAATAAGTGCAGCGATGGACCGTATAGTGTTATGTTGTGGTGCGTCTGATGAAGAATGAGAACAAGGAGTAAGGGGATAGAACGTCATCAGCTATTTGAGATTGGTGCTCAGGGAACACCTCACCGAGGAGGTATATGAGCAGAGATCATGGAAATATCTGCAGCAAGATTGTTCCAAGCAAAGGGAACAACTGGAAGGACAAAGGTCCTGAGGTGGCAATGTGCTTGGGCATTTGAGGACCAGCCAAGCGGTCAGTGTGACTGCAGAGGTGAAGATAATGGGAGATTGTGACCTTTGAATCATGGGCTTTTGGAAAGCTATGGGTCAGACATTTTTAAGGAGACCCATCTTTTAGCATGTCTGTAATCCCTAGTAGGATGGCTCATAAACACAGCCCAAACTCATCTTTTTTTTTTTTTTTTTGAGAGCATTCTCTGAAGGAGCCATCCTTCTGGGTTTGGTGTCTATGACTCACGAGGATTGTCCAGAAACCATCAGATCTTTCTGGACAGTTTTAGATCCGAGTTGTTGTCACTCTACTCAAATCGTCAAATCATAAGATTAAGATAATGAATTTCTGGATGGATAACACACATATTTGTGTCCTTCAAGAAGCCACATGGAGTGCAAAACTTACACATAGTGAGAACTCAGTAAACATTATTTGGTCAATGCTTGAACAAATGGCCTGAGAGTGGTAGAAAGGATGGGGCGTCCTAGAAAGGGTTGTTAAAAATACACCCTTCTAAAAATGTTGTTAGCAAGATTACTTCGGAAGCATTCTGACTTCCTTGGAATAATTTTTAAAGACAAGTCCATATGCTGACATGTGAACATAAGTATATAACAAACTGAACAGTAGTAACATTATTTTCAGGCCAGGTTTTAGTTGGATGGTTGTATTTTGTCAATCTAATTTTCCTCCATGTTTAAACTGGATATGGGAAGTATTTCCAACCTTTTCTCTGATATTAAAGGAATATTGGTGTCTGGGCTCATCTGACTAAATGATTCCATTTATTACTGTCTTACTTTGGGTAACGTGTGTTTAATATGTTGAGATCGTGGTAGGAATTACGTGGGAAATATCAGTCCCCAAGGAAAAGATGGGTGGTCAAGTTGCACTGTGATGGGGAATATGAAAGTTGTAATTCTTGTCCTCCTGTTACTGAATTCTCTCACTATAATGGACCGAAAATTTATTTGCCTATTGCATTTCAATATCCCCATCTGCAAAGTGGGGGTAACACAAACTTACCCTCTGCCTTTCAGGTTTTTTGCGAAAATCAGTGAACTAATATTGGTAGAATTGGAGCCCCATGGATGAAGGGTACTTTGTAAGTATAACACATTATTGTCATGTTATGTTCTGTTACTCCAAAGTGCAATTATCAGATGTCTGTTCTTGCCATGTTAGGAAATCAGCAACACCGACTTTCATACCCAAGTATCAGTGATCTGACTTCCTTTGAGGAATTTAATATTTCTGAATTCTCTAATGTTTTTGTCAATGTGTTTGATGTAGAAAGGCCTGACCCACTACCCGCTACCCTACAACAAATATTCAGGCGATGTTTACTAGATAATTTAGAAGAATACATGTCTGCATATTGTGTAAAAATGTTGATATGAACCCTGGATATGAATGTAAGGTATCTTTATTTCACTTCTCCCTACCTCTCTGTCCCTTTTTTTTTTGATTTGCATTTAACTCTGTGTTTTGAGCAGTCCATTTGGGTCTTAAAGAAATGGTTGGTTTCTGGGAGAGAATGAATGTTTTACTGAGGTCAGCAATGTTTTGTTGTTAATGATGAAACTGAATGAGGCATCCTTTAGACAAGTTGCTAAGCATTGTGTTTGCAGACGTTGGGTGCTGGAGGAGGCCAACTAGAATGGTGAGCTAAGTGTGGATCACTCCTCCCTTAACATGTTACAGCCCAGGTGGCTTAGGCGTGGGCTCGTGCCCATGGAATGGCCAAGGACTGCAAGCCACAGAGCTGGAGAGCAGGCAGAAATTGTATAATCCCAAAGCAATTGCTTCAACTAATTTCCCCTTCTGAATGGTACCTCTTTTTATTTTGCTAGGTCAACCAATGCCCTGGCTGGCGACATGCCCAGGGCTTACCCCATGGTATTTTTTTATTTTAAGGTGGTTGTCACCCTTTAACATAGAGAAATGTATTATAACGTGTTGTGACTGCTTATTGAAGCCATTTTAGTGAGTCCCCCAGAAATTCATGGGACTGTAGGATCTTATGTCTGGAAGGTCCTACCTGTCTCATCTAGTTCCATTTCTTGGCCAGTTTCAGTGTTCATCTGATGAACAAATCCTTTAGAGGCAGATCTACAACCTTAAGAGGCAACTCTTTCTAGTCACACAGCCTTCTTTCTTGAGATGAACCCAAATCCACCCTCTATGTATCTGCCACATATACCCAAATCCACCCTCTGTGTTCTTCTGAAAAGAACAAGTTTTCCTCCTCTGAAGTGACATCCTTTCAAGTATTTGGTGGCACTTATTGGGTTCCCCTTAGAGTGGTCTCTTTGGTAGCTTCAGTTCCCTTGAAAACTGGAGTTTGTATGTCATGACTTCCATGACTTTACCCCTCTGGAAAGGTTCTCATTTGTCTATATCTTTCTTAACAAGCAGCACTGAGCCTCTACCTTCTCCAGGCCCCAATCTGCATCTCAGAGTCAAGAGATCTAATCACGGGCATGGAAGAGAATGACCTCGAAGAACTCATCTGGAGTCACGTGCGCCCATGGATTGGTTTGAGTAATGAGAGGGCAAAGCCCACATCCCTCTGTGAGGTGCTGATGATTGACAGGGGAAAGTTGTTTTGGTTAATAATACAATCTGCTTGCCTCCTGGAGACACAGCAGTAGCCTACTAATTCGTTAGAAATGAATTAAGGTTGTTTACCGATGTTTTAAAGTAACTGTCAGAGTGAAAAAAAAAAGTGCGTACTGGATGAGACCACTCACCTACTTCGGAGTTGCTGTTTATTTTAAGCTGAGTGCATAAATAATATATTGAGATACGAAGGGTGATTTCAAGCATTAGAACACGAAGCCTCCTGTTTACTAACTGTCATTGGGCTGAAGAGAATTTAAACAGTGCTGAACCTTTTTGTCTGGGAATGCAAGGCATGAAATTAACTTTCATTTTGTAGTTATCAGACATCAGGATTAAGGCAGTCTTGTTGATGTGTCTTCTGCCGATCGGGGTCTCTTTTGCTAAACAAAACAAGCCTTGGCAACAGAATGCTTCCCAGTGTCTCCGTTGAAACAAGACCTTCAACTCCACCCCACCCTTCTAAAAAACAAGGATCTCTCTGGGTCACTGAGTCAGTTTGTTCTGGATATAAAGAGAAATAGTGGAAAAATACTAGACTTGGTTCCAGGAGCTCTAGTCCCATCCACCAGGAGCCCTCTCTCGATCTCTCTTTCTTCACCTGTCAAATGGGGATAATGGCATCTGCTTCTACTACTTTGCAGGAAGATGGTGTGATCCCCCACGAGGTCATTGTTGTGACAGGGCTTTGAAAGGTATCTGGGCAGGACAAGGCTGTGTTCTAAGTGACTTATTACATATATTAACTCATTTCGTCTTCCTGACAACCCTATGGGATTGGCACTATTATTGTCCCAATTTTATCCCTGCAAAAACTGAAGTGCAGGGAAGCGAAGGGACTCGCTCCATCATCTCACAGATAACGAGGCAAATTGGGATTCACACAGAAGGCAATTGGGGTCCAGAGGCTGTATTCTTACCTATGACTTCTTTGGGAGAAGGGGCCAGTTTTTCCTACCTACTGATGGTTGTGCCTCTTAGTCATGCTGAAGGAAATGAAACATTATCCCCCGTAGCCGGGAGCAATTTTAGTGTGAGGAAATGCAGGAATGGCTTCTTCATGAGTAACTATCAAGGAGGCGGAGCCCCATAGCATAGGGATGTAGCCAACTGTATGGATTAATTATGTTTTATGTGTAAACAGCCTGGTGATTCTTAGATGAAAAGCCCGAAGTGAAAAGACCTATTACTTGGAATGCTTTCAGACACAAGAAATTTGATTGACTTTTTGTCCCTGTAAACTTGAAAGTACGATAGCCTATTTTGGAGCATAGGGAGAGTGTTAGAGAATGAATAGAAAATGTATGGAATGTTTAATTTTGCATGATTACATTTCATATTTGCAGAGGTAACTGTGGCAAATAGAAGTGTATAATAGTATCACAGCATATGTGTTTTAGATGTTTTGATGAAATACTCTGGGCTTTACAGTCTGATACAGGAACCCTTTGGGATAAGTCCTTATTATGCAAATGAACAAGAATGTATTTGTGTTCACATCACTGAAAATATGTAATTTGTGTAACTGCTTTTTAATTTATATTTACTTGAGTTTCAAAAGAGGAAAGAGCCTAAAGTGATTAATGGGAACAAAAATGATGGGAATTTGCAGACTTTCCCCTTGAAATACACTCAGACTATAGCGGGGTCATACTTAAAAGTTGGAGTGGCAAGATGGGGGTCCGATTTGCTGGGGTTTCTGAAAAAAGCAGTTAAAAAATAGGATCATTTCCATAATACCAGAAAAATGGATGGACTCATGAGAGCTGAGGGGAAGAATAAATTCTCCAGTTCCAAACGGCCAAAATCTCAGCAATTGCTGCTGTGCCCTAGCCCTTATTAATACAATAAGATAATTGCATGATTAAGTACACTGTGGAATTTCAATAATTAGGAACTTTGTTTTCTCATCACAATATGCAGCTTGCTGAAATGTTGAAAAGCATTGAGGACTTTTACGGAGGCTGGGCTCATTCTTTCATATCACGTCCTCTGCAGCCTTCTGCGGCTTGTCTGGCGGTGCTGAGACACTTCCCTTTCGGGTTATTTTTAGTTGGTTATATTTAGACATGGTGAAATTAAGCAGGAAGTCCCCCAAAGTCTGACTTGCCTGCCCAGGTTATGAGAGTTGAGGATCATTTTGCTAAAAGCATCCCTCTGCCCTCTAGATCTTTCTAGGTAATAACGGATGGAAAGCAAGCTGAAGACCAGTGCTGTTTGGAGCTGGGCAGTCCCTCTTTGGGGCCTAATTCTGAGATAACTTAGTGGAGTTGCAGAGAGGACAGGCTCTAGAGCGGGGCTCCTGGGTTCAAACCCTGGCATGGCTTCTTGTATACTGTGAGACCCCGGGAAAGAAACTCAATCTCCCCTGTTTGCTTATGTGTAAAAGGAGAATCTTAGTATTGGTGCAAGGCTTCATTGAGTTAATATGTGGAGGGAGCTCAGAAAATACAGAAGCTTGTAAGCACCCCGTGAAAGTTAGCTAGTGTTATTAGGCGGCGTGGGAGGACATTTCCCATTCATCTGAATGTGGCAGACCTTCGAGGAAGAACAAATAAGTAGATTTATGGTTTCACCCTTTCGAGAAATATTTATTGACCACTTTATCTACCACCATACTGGGTGTCAAAAAAGAAAGATGAATAATACCTCTTCCCTTCCCTGGGAATTGGATTGGGAAAATAGATATGCTTATAGATGATGATGATGATGATGATGATGATAAAAATAACAGCATTAAAATAGTGTCGGGCAGATGGTAAGGTATTTTAGCAGGGCCTGGTCTGTCATCATAGTGCCCGCAGCACCTAACACATAGATGAATGAATGAGTGACAGGAATTTGGCCTAAGATTATTTTGTCTTAGAGTCAAAATTGTTTATCAGCACAGAGTAGGTTCCTAGCTGAATAGTCACTGAGCGTATGGCTAGGGCAGGGAGGGGGTGCGGGATGACTCGGTATATGTTTGGAGAATAAACGAGTGAATGAATACATGGAGAAAATTGACTTCCGGCTTCTTTTCCTATGGGATGAGTACAGTCAGTTTGAGAAAGTAGGTGAATTTGCTAATGTTGAATATTAGGGCCAACACCAGGGTGAGGCAAGCAAGATGCTGACTTAAGGTGCAACATGTAAGGAGGCACTTGCTCTCAGGCTCCTACAGGTGCCTCCTTAAATTTTGTGCCTTAGATGCCTCCCCCTTGGCAAGACCCAGTTGAATGCTACTAGTCTTACTTGTGTGAATATGTTTTATGTGAACATGCGTTCGAACACTTCCCCTAAATTTTAATTCAAAAAATTTCAAAGCTGTAGAAGAGTTGAAAGAACAGTACAAGAAATACTCTGTACACCTTTTACCTATCTCTATGAATTGTCGATGTTTGGCTACATTGACTATATCCCCTTCTATGGACGTGACTTTGAACCTTGTCCTAATGCACCAGAGAAATCGCGTGCCCTCCAGACAACATCCCCCTCCCACCT